GTGAAAACAGTCCTAAGAGGGAAATACATAGCATTACAGGACTACCTCAAGAAACAAGAAAAATCTAAAATAAACAACCTAACTTTACACTAAATGGAACAACAAACAAAGCCCAAAATGAGTAGAAGAAAGGAAATGATAAAGATCACAACAGAAATAAACAAAATAGAGTCTAAAAATAATACAAAGGATTGATGAAACCAAGAGCTGGTTCTTTGAAAAGATAAACAAGATTGATAAACCTTTAACCAGACTCTACAAGAAAGAAAAACAGAAAGGATGCAAATAAATAAAATCAGAAATGAAAGAGAAGTAAAAACTGACATCACAAAAATACAAGAGATTGTAAAAAATATATTATGAGGAACTATATGCCAACATATTGGACAATCTGAATAAAAAGTATAAATTCCTAGAAACATACAATCTTCCAAAACTGAACCCACAAGAATCAGAGAATCTGGACAGACAGATTACGATTAGTGAGACTGAAGCAGTAATTGAAAAAAACAAAAACAAACAAACAAAAAAAAAAAACTCCCAACAAACAAAAGTTTTGGACTGGATGGCTTCACAGGTGAATTTTACAAAACATCTCATGAAAAATTAACAATTACCTTTCTCAAACTAGTCCAAAAAATTCAGGAGGAGGAAAGACTCCCAAGATAATTTTTCAAGGCCGGATTTATCCTAATTCCAAAACCAGATAAATACACTACAAAGAAAATTACAGGCCAATATCCCTGATGAACAAAGACACAACAAAATCAACAAAATATTAGTAAACTGGAACCAGCAATACATTAAAAAGATCATACACCATGATCAAGTGAGATTTATTCTGGGGAAGGAAGGTTGGTACAATATCTGCAAATCAATAAACGTGACATACCACATAAACGAAATGAAGGATAAAAACCACATGATCATATTAATAGATGCAGAAAAAACATTTGATAACACCCAGTACCCACTTATGATAAAAACTCCTATCACATTGAGAATAGAGGGAACATACCTCAATGTAATAAAGGCCACATATGACAAACCCATAGCCAACATTATAGTCAATAGGAAAAATTCACAAATGTTTCCCTTAAGATCAGGAACAAGACAGGGATGTCTGCTTTCACCACTCTAATTCAACATTGTACTAGAAGTTGTAGCCACAGCAATCAGACAAGGAGAAATATGTCATTCAAATTGGAAAGGAAGAAGTAAAACTGTAATTATTTGCAGATGACATGATACTGTATATAGAGAACCCTAAAGATTCCATAAAAGAGTACTAGTACTGATAAATTCAGGAAAGCAGAGGGATATCAAATAGATATCCATAAATCAGTTTCATTTTTATACACCAATAATGAACTATCAGAATAGGAAACTAAGAAAACAATCTCATATATAATTGCATCAAAAAATAAAATACCACCCTCGCTGGTGTGGCTCAGTGGATTTAGTGCCGGCCTGCCAACCACAGGGTCACCAGTTCAATTCCCCATCAAGGCACATGCCTGGGTTGCAGGCCAGGTCCCCAGTAGGGGGTGTGCGAGAGGCAACCACACTTTCATGTTTCTCTCCCTCTCTTTCTTGTCCCTTACCCTCTCTAAAAATAAATAAATTTAAAAAATAAAATAAAATACCTGGGAATAAATTTAACCATGGATGTAAAAGACTTGTACTCAAAAAGATTATGATACTGAAGAAAAAAACTGAAGAAGACACAAATAAGTGGAAGCATATGCCATGTTCATGGATAGGAAGAATTCACATCATTTAAATATCCATACTACCCAAAGTAATCTATAGGTTCAATGTAATTTTCATCAAGATATCAATGGTGTATTTCACAGAACTAGAACTAATATTCCAAAAATATATATGGAACCACAAAAGACCCTAAATAGCATGGCGATCTTGGAAAAAAAGTACAAAGTTGGAGGAATCATGCCACCTGATATCAAACTATACTATAATGCCATAGTTATCAAAACATCATGGTACTGGCATAAAAACAGACATATAGATCAATGGAACAGAATAGAGAGCCCAGAAGTTAACCCATGCCTCTATGATCAATTAATACTTGACAAAGGCAGCAAAACATACAATGGGGTAAGAACAGCCTATTCAATAAATTATATTGGGAATATTGGACAAATATGTGGAAAAAATGAAACTAGACCACCTTCCTAAATCATACACAAGAATAAACTAAAAATGGATTAAAGATTTAAATGTTAGACACAAAATCATAAGAATCCTAGAAGAAAACATAGACAGTAAAAATCTTGGACATTTCTCATAGCAATATTTTTTTTTCTGATATATCACCTCAGGCAAGGGAAAGAATATAAAAAATAAACAATTGGGAAAACATCAAACTAAATTTTTTTGCACAACGTGGAAAACCATCAACAAAATTAAAAGACAGCCCACTGAATAGGAGAACATATTCGCCAAAGATATATCTGATAAGGGGTTAATATACAAAATTTATAAGAAACTTATAAAACTCAACACACACAAAAAAACAATCCAAGATACAGATGACAAATAGATATATGAAAAGATGCTCAACATTAGTAATCATCAAGGAAATCAAACTAAAACCACAATGAGATATCATCTCACACTTGTCAGAATGGCTATCACTAATAAATCAGCAAACAAGTGTTGGCAAGAATGTGGAGAAAAAGGAACCCTCATGCACTATTGGTGGGAATGCATATTGGTGCAGCCACTGTGGAAAAGTTCTATGGAGTTACCTCAAAAAATTAAAAATGGAACTGTCTCATTACCTAATCATTCCAGTTCTGGGAATATAGCTGAAGAAATCTCATACAACTACTTTGAAAGTATGTATGCACCCCATGTTCATTGCAGCATTATCTACAATAGCCAAGATTTGGAAGCAGCCCACGTGTCCATCAGTAGATGAGTGGGTAGAAAAACTGTGGTACATATACATAACAGAATACTACTTGCCATAAAAAAGAAGGAAATCTTAAACTTTGTGACAGCATGGATGGACCTGGAGAGCATTACGCTATGTGAAATAAGCCAGTCCAAGAAATGCAAATGCCATATTATTTCACTCATATGTGGAATCTAATGAACAAAATAAACTAACAAACGTAATAGAAGCATACTCATTTGTAGAGAAGAGACTGACATCTATCACAGGGGAGGGGCATTGCAGGGCTGACTGAGAAAGGTGAAGGGATTAAGCGGAAAAAAAAAAAAGACACAGACACCAGTATGGGGATTTCCAGAGGAAAAGTTAGGTGGGTGGAGATATAAGAGGGTATAGGAGCGATAAATATTGGTGGAAGGAGTCTTGACTTGGAGTGATAAACACATAATACAATGTACAGATGATGTATTATAGAATGATACACCTGAAACTTCTATAATTTTATTAACCAATATCACCCCAATAAATTCAGTAAAAAAGTACAAAAAAAAAGTAGCCCAATACTTTAAGAAATCCAAACAACCATGAGTGATTGCCCATAAAATAAGATTCTTTGTCTTACAAGATTCTCTACACTCCCTTAAATAGGAATCCCCAGGTGGGTTTAAGGGATGAGATCATAATAAAATCTTTTGATTGATTAAAATAAAACTGGAACCATTACATTTCTTTGTCATACAAGTAAGATTAGAACTAGACTATCGGATTGTACAATATACAGAGTTAGAAACACTTTTATCTGACCCACATGGAGTTCTATAATATTTTACCTGATTTTGTTTATACTTTAAGCACTACCATCAGCTTTCCAACAAAATCAATGGAAAACCAAATGCCACAGCTAAGGTTTCATGCTCAAGAGAAAAAGAAATAATACCTTCCTTTTATTCCATCCACTTAAGAAGAGTTTGACTCCTTTTGTAAGCTGTGCTTTGAGATTTGATGTAACATTTTTTTAAAACTGTGTACTTGTGTAACACTTTATAATTCACAGCTTTAACATAGACATCATTTGTTGATGACAAGAATAAGTGGAAAAGTGATGAGTGAGGACAAGGTAAGGAGGATGGGGAAAAAGACAGAAGAGGCTAGGAAGAGGAGAAGCACTCCTGATAATATTGTCGCACAAACAGTACTGCACTGAGCAAGCCTCACCCTACGATGAGGACCCAGATTCCCAACTTCTCTATGGCATCACAACAATCTCTTCAAGCAGCTATAATATCTAGTTTGATGAAGGAAGAAACACACTTTATATCAGATTCTCATACTGCCTGTTATTTAGAAAGGAGAGGGGATTGCCTCTTGCATTGTTGTCTCAACAACTTATCACCACTGCCTACCTATTTTTGGTTAACAATACCTATCTTGGAACACAAGCATCCTAAAGGTATGAGACTTCATAGAATTACCAGTCAGTCCTTCATTCCAAATGGCTGAGCTACATTCTGACAAATCTCAACCCCCCCCCCCCACCGCCACCGATTCCACTTCTGGAAATATATACAAATAATGCCAAAACACTAATTCAAAAGAATATATGCACCCCCATGTTCTTTGCAGCGTTGTTGTTCACAATAGTGAAGATGTGGAAGCAGCCCAAATGCCCATTAGTAGATGGGTGAATAAAAAAGCTATGGTACATTTACACAATGTAATACTTCTTGGCCATAAAAAAAGAAACTCTTACCTTTTGCAACAGCATGGATGGACCTGGAGAACATTATGCTAAGTTAAAGAAGCCAGTCAGAGAAAGACAAGTACCATATGATTTCACTCATATGTGGAATCAAATAAACAAAATAAACTAACAAACAAAACAGGAACAGACTCATAGACACTAAGAAAAGACTGTCAGCTGTCAGAGTTGAGCAGGCTGGGAGGCTGAGTGAAAAAGGTGAAGAGATTCAGTAAGTAAATAAATAAATAAACAAACTGACTCAAGCTCCCCCCCACACACACACACACAAAGAATCTATACAGGTCCTCTGAAGAAATCACAAATATTTCTGTTACATACCTCAACCTGCTGGCAGATTTGTATGAGCTTGGCCATTTGAGTTTCTAGTTCGCTGTTACGCTTAACCAGGTTGGTAAGGTTCATCTCCAGAGTTTGCTGTCATTGCAGAGTATGAAGCAAGATGGAAAAGGGAAAGAGGGGGAAAAAAACATACATCCAATGAGCTTGTGAATCAGTACCATGTAGAAATCAGTCGGCTGGCAAATATACTATTTCAAAGAATAATTGTGCCCATGTGATAGGCTTAAGTAATCTTGGTGCCACTTAATAAAAAGTTGACATTCATGACTTTGTGGATGTAGGACTTTAATGACATTAATACAATTTAATGTTTTCTGTAATATTTTTAACCTTTTTAAGTATTTCACAATCAATATTTCATTTTGCCCTCATAATAATCCTGTGACATAGGGATTACATGTATTGTTTTCTTTTACAGATGAGCAGACTAAGAAAACTATATTGAATGATTACTACTTGCCAGACATTATGCTAGACATTTTCATATATATAATTGAATAATCATAAAAACCCATTAAGTAGGAGATGTTAGCATTTTGCAGATGAGAAAACTGAGCTTTAGAGTGGGGGTAAAGTGTTTTTGCACAGTCATATAATTAGTATATGGCAAAGCTAGGGCTGGAACCCAGGACTGTAGCCTTCATTCACAGCTTTGCTACAGTATTCCATACTTTCTTCTGGTTATTTTTGTTGTTATTGTTATTGATAACATTTTATATTTATCAGTAGATTTGTTTAGGAAAAATGGTATATTAAGTTTGGTATTCATCAAAATTTTGCATCATATCTCAGTTTCCCTTCTTTGGCACTAAGGAATAGCCCATGGAGATGCCAGACTTCAAAAGACTCTGAGTCTGGCTGGAACAAAGAATACAAAAGAATAGTGGAGGAGGGAAAGCCTAGAAATGGAGATCAAGGCTCTGTTATGAAGGTCTTGAATGCCTAAGTGAGGAGTTTGTGCCTATTTCTTTAAGTAGTGAGGAGTTACCAAGGGCTTTTGAGCAAGATAATGATATAATCAGGGCTGCAATTATGAAATTAACCTACCAGCAATATGTGGGGCAGACTGAAACAGGAAAGTCTGAGGACAGGGACACTGGTTAGGAGGAAGCTGCATTCTTCAAGGCAGTTGGGAATGCAGGTCTGAGCTAAGCTAAGGTGATAATTGAGAAAAGCTTATATCAGTAAAGGATTTGTCACTGCCATATATATAGAGACTGCAAGAAAGGAAGCTGGACTTGGTAATTAGAGGTCACTGGTGATCTTTGAAAAATGAGTTTCAGTAGAGTTTTGGAAGCAGATGTCAAACTGTACAGGGTTAGTATGGATAAAGCGGAGGCTTCAAGTCTGGACTCCTTTTAAAAAGTTTGACCATAAGATGAATATGATAGAGCTGTAGTTTGGTGAAAATGTCCACCTTAAGTTAGAGAGTATGTATTAGTAATGAACCCAATCAGTTTGTGATTTCCTCTTGCAGAGTGGTCCAGATTCCTAGATCAATGTGAACCCCATGTATCAAGAATGGTTATACTGACATATTAAGTAAACATAATGTAGACTGATGAACTTAGAGCAGATATAATATTAGAAATCTGTGTTTCAAACTGTAATATGTTTCCATTCAAACATAAGATGCCATGGGGAGGTTTTCTAACAAGTACATCCAACCTGTTGCAACACTTGTCATGAAACTGATATCTTAGGTCCCTGCTATGTGTTCCTCATTTATGACCCAGAACTGAGACTTACAGCTTCTGTAAAGCCACTGAAAACAAAAATCATGGCTGAACACACAATTAGGGTCTGATCAGACTATGGACCTTGGGTTACCATCACAAATTTATGTCAAATGGTTATTTTGTTCTGTGCTCCCGAACAATTTGCAGAAAGCCAGCACATTTGAACAACACACAACTAGAACTGACAAAATGACTTCAATTTCAACCTGACTTAATTAATATGAAAATGCTTTGAAAAATAAATCTTTGGTTAATAAAACACCATCTGTTGATGACTTTTTGCCACTGTTTTCTTACATTATGAGAGATAATTTGAGGAAAATACCAGGTATTTACTTACTAACTTGCTATTCACACTAATGCTTCCTCTAAAACTGGAATTGATTCTCAGTAATGAACATATGCACAGGGAAGGGAAGAAGTGAAGCAATTTTGCAGTCTCTTTCCTTACCCTTACTTCTTATGTCCAACCCTGACAAATAAATTAGAACTAGATATTCTGGGCCACTCTAGGTTTTACAGATTTGGCCAAGTAATTATCATGTCTATACTCTGGCTAAATAAACAAAGAGGATATGTGTATATGTACGTATGTATACACACATGTGTATATATGCAATTTTGTATAAAACTAAACATGTCTTTATTGCTTTGTTTGGTTTTGAAAAAAATTGGTTTACTTTGCTCTTTTTCTTCTGCATTCCAGTTAATGACTGGGCCAGGTTCTCTCTGTGTAAGCCTGGTTAGTGCAGTTTTCTAAGAATAGCTGAAGCATGACAGTGAGAGAAAGCCAAAGTGGTAGGGATTGGAATGGAGATATCTGCTGGGAGGAAACAGAGACAGGAGGTTGGCACGGGGAGCAGGATGAAGCTCGCATTTCCTGCTGCAGGAGGTTACCTCTGAGTCTGCCTGTGTTTCTCGTGTATGAAGATTAGAGAAGCCATTTTAGATATGAAACTATGAGAATATCTTCCGCTTTAGATGATTGTATCATTAGAGCTCTCACAAAATTGTACATGTGTCTAAACAGCACAAATTGAGATTAGGTTTATTTGTATAATTGAGATTTTACAAGGCCCAAGTTAGCTAAATTGGCAGTCTCTTACACCGATGACATTTTTACCCAAGTTCCACTTCATTTATGTCATACAGACTTAGCCTCTTTGTCTTCTTTATGCCCTTGCTAAAGAGGAAAATGTTTTGCTACTTCTGAGTAAACCAGGCAAGGCTATTCTTCTAGACAGCATCCCATTAAAAGAAACAACTTCTCTAAACCTCTCAAGTAATTGCCGAGGGTTTTTTTTTCCAGTTTCCTGGACACAGGTTATGTCTGGTTACTTTCTCACTGGCTCCCTCAAGAAACCTAACTATACATCAAAACACCAGCTCTTCCTTAAAGCCAGAGCAATTCCCCTGATGACACACACTTGACCATGATCTCCATTTGTCATGCTCCATGAAGGCACATGTATACAAACAATATGAGCACACTTACAGACACTTACCTGAAACAGCAAGTCTTGAAGCCTAAAATACTACATGTCTTATCAAAACATGTAGTATTGCCACTGAGCACCTGTATGCACTCTTGCTTTCTAAAAGGTGCAAGGGGTCAAATCCCACCAGAGCTGATTTTTAAAACTAAATAAATAAAAGGTATATGGGAGATGTTTTCTAAACCTAGACAAAATCCCAACTGTTGTGAAGTGGGAATTGAAACTTGGGGGTGCAGGGAGAGAAAGGAAGGTAGAGAAACTGTGAATTCATTCCAAACCTGAGCCTTAATTGACAGAAGATAATTTCATTTTTAAAAATAACCCAAGCCAGTGGCCCCATTACTATTCTTCAACATATTCTTTTTTGATATCCTGTCTGCTCACAGATGTTTCCAGCTCTTCCACAAGCTGCAAACCAAAACCTTAGCACCATTTTAGGGGTCGCATTCTAAACTGCTTGTCTTTTTTTTAACTGCTTGTCTTAAAATACTTACTTTGCTTTTGCTTCAGTCTGTCACATTTATGTATTAATCACATATAGCCTTTAAACAGCAGGACACAGCATCTGTTCCACAAATGGAAGCCCATTACCTTTATGCTAGAGTTTATTCCTTCCCCACACATTTATTTGCTGCTACACAGACAGAAGCTAAGTCCCAGGATGATATATTGTATATATAAGATCTACTCTGCCTGAGGTTAGTTAGAGATACACAGACTGGTCCTCAAGCGAGGTGAAACTGGTGGCCATTCCTCTTCTTTTCAGAACTTTCTAAAATCATCCAACAAACACCCATACTTCCCCAGTTACCTTATCAGAAATGCTACACAATCCATTGTGTGTGTTTTTCTTTCCTCTCTCTTCAGATGCATTAACATTGTTAAATCTCTAGCTTATACATGTAAATTATTACATTTGAATGTTCTAAATGAAAATCTGTACTAAAATCCTAAATCCAGTGTTTATTTAGATAACAATTAGAATAGTGAGTCAAAGCCAATCCTACTTTCCTGGAGGCCTCAAAATTATATTTCACTTGCACTATTCTTCTTCAGTCCCTGCCTCTCATATACATCCTCCTCTTGCTCTTCTTTCATGCTGAACTTCTAGACCATTTGTGTGCCACAAGGCTCAATGAAGTGCTCTCATTTAGTTCACCACTGCATAGCTTTATCTCCACACTAAAGACACCAAATTTAATTCTCTAGCTTTGATCTTTCAACCACCATAAAGGTCTAAATTTTAACTCCTAGAACATTCGCCTTTTCATTTCTAAGAGTACCCCATGCTTTCTCTCCCCCAGATATTTGAACAAGCTCTTTTACCTTCACTAGAGCACTCCCTGTCCCTTACTGTAGCCCTTTCTCCCAATGGGGGAGGGGCCAAAAGCCCACCCAAAGTCTATTTTGATATCCCTCATAGGCTCTCTCACAGCCTTCCTGTGCTTCTGCTGTCATAGCACTCACCACACTGTCTTGTAACTGTGTCCTTATTTGTCTGTCTCCCCACACTAAGCTGAGAACTCCACTAAGGTTGGCACTATGGTGTCTTTATAATTGTAACCCCTGCATCTCTTCTGGCGCTTGGTATCTAATAAGTGTTCAGTAAAAGTATGATAAATGAGTGAATAGTGAATGACTCACAATCACATCAAACTCAAATCTAAAGTCAAGTCATTCCACCAAAACTGCTAGCCCCTTCCCAATTTCCCCATTTTTGTCCCTGATACCATCATTATTGAAGACATCCACTCAAAGACCACTTTAAAAATTCTTTCTCTCCATTGTCTATAACCACTATAATCATTCACCAGGTCCTCTCAATTCTTTCTTCACAATC